AGAGAGAGAGAGAGAGAGAGAGAGAGAGAGAGAGAGAGAGAGAGGAAGCACGAATCTTTACTGTGTGTGTGAACAATCCACTGGCTAACTGGCAAGTTCGTTGCCTGAAGGCAACGCTGTCTCTGCTTGTGTATGTAGGGTGTGTTGTTTGTGGGTGTGTACGTGTTTGTTTGTTTGTTTGTGTCTGTGTACGTGTCTGTGTGTGTGTGTGTGTGTGTGTGTGTGTACGTGTTTCTTCGTGTATGTGTATACGTGGTTGTTTGTTTGTGTGTACGTGTTTCTTTGTGTGTGTGTGCGTACGTGCTTGTTTATGTGTGTGTGTGTGTGTGTGTGTATCTGAACCGGAGGAGAAATGCTAGTTGGAGGAAGAGGAAGACGCAGGGGATGATGTGTTTGTGTGTGTGTGCGTGTGTGTGTGTGTGTGTGTGTGTGAACCGGAGAAGGAGAGATGATAGTTGAAGGAAGAGGAAGACGCAGTGGATGAGGAGGAAAGCTGGGCGCGCGCGCGCGCGTGTTTGTGTTTGTTTGTGTGTGAACCGGCGTGTGCGCGCGCGTGTGTGTGTGTGTGTGTGTGTGTGTGTGTGTGAGAACCGGAGAAGGAGAAATGCTAGTTGAAGGACGAGGAAGACGCAGAGGAAGAGGAAAGCACCGCGGGTACTGGGACCAGTGGAGGAAGATGAGGAGGAAGATGATGAGATGAGGAAAGGAAGAAGGCTTGTGCTGAGCGAGGCAACTTCCTGATTCTGCTCAAATGGCTGGCAACTTCATTATCTTTTTGTTTCTTTTTTGTTTTGTTTCTTTCTGTTTCTTTTTTGTCTCTTTTTTGTTTTGTTTCTTTTTGTTTCTTTTTTGTTTTGTTTTTTTCCGATTGCTGTTCCCCTCGTGCGTAAGACGTTTTGGATGGCGCCAACTTCCTGACTGTGCTCAACGGACGTTTTGGTTAGCCGCTACCAGTAGCATTAACCGTGGGTTGTGAGTATTGTATCTCCGCCGCTACCAGTAGCATTAACCGTGGGTTGTAAGTATTGTAGCTCAGGCGTAGTACCCTGGTTATTAAATTTCCTATTGTCTCTGCTAATTCGACTGAATCTAGACGCAACTGCGTCTAGGTGCAAGGTACCGTGGTTTTAGCGTGTAATCACACTACTGGTAGGACTTCTTCGACTGAATCTAGACGCAACTGCGTCAAGGTACCTTCTTCTCCCGAACACAACACTTGGTCATATGACTACACCTGGCCAGGATTGCGCTCATGTACATTCATGACAAATGGACGTAGTGTACGGGGGAAGAAGTTTCGACGATCAGATCCTCTCCAAAAAAAGAAAGAGAGAATGTGAATCCGGTCTTTTGGGGCCTCGCTCCTCTACTGGCCAAATGTGAAAAGTGGCATGTGCCAATTACAGTGGCCATGTAAAACAACAACAAAAAAAAAAAAAAAAAAAAAAAAACAACCAAGCTACATAGTGGCGCTAGACTCTTATTAGTCCGTCTTCCCGGTAGTCCAACTCCTTCGTAAGCTACTCCCCCTGTAGCCCAAGCGCCCGCCCT